CTGAAGCAGGAGGATTCCAAATTTTCAAGTGTAAGGCCACATGTGGCAACTTTTGAGATCCGGATCAAAATTAAAAATAAAAGGGCTGGCAGGGGTGGGGGCTGGGGAGGACAACTGGGGTTGTGGCTCAGTGGTAGAGCACTCACCTGCACTGGGTTCAATCCTCAGCACAAAAGACAGAGAGAAGGGGTGGGGGAGAAGAAGGGCAGGGGATTGTGTCCATCTACAACTTAAAAAAATAATGATTTTTAAAAAGGGGAGCTAGGGAGGGGCTGGGGTTGTGGCTCAAGGGTATAGCACTTACCTAGCACACGTAAGGTAATTCTCAGCCCCACATTAAAATAAACAAAATAAAGGTATTGCGTCCATTTAAAACTTAAAATAAAAATTTAAGGGGGGGGGGGGCTAGCTAGGGATAGAGCTCAGTGGTAGAGTACCCCTGGGTTCGATCCCCAATACCACAAAAAATAAAGTGAATAAATAAAAATTAAAGGAAGTCTTAATTGGCTAAAGGGCTAACTGTTCCAATCAAGAGAATGATTTTCAGTAGCAAGCAGAAAGGTTCTTATCTTGTTCTTTGTCTTAAGTCAACATATTTTTTTAAAGATCAGATTAGATAAAAGTAGAAAAGACGTACTCATCTTCCTAAAATGAAGATAAAAAAATTTCAAAGAGGTAGCCAATAATATGAAGAACATGGCAACAGAAATCCTGATAAAACACTAAATTGGATGTAAATTTATATTCAATGAGTGTCAAACCCACACATATAGTTGTACACTAACACACACCATACTGACAGGAATGGACAAGATGGCAATGTGCAGTATCACCTCCACAGGAAAAACCCAGAAGCTCTGACTGACAATGAGCTCAGAGGCATCACAGAGCGCATATGCTGCCCAAAGGCCAAAGCCATCCTGGGATACACAGTCTACCTCTGGAATGATGGAAGTCTTGGCTATAGCTCTACCTCTATCTGCTATCACTGAAGGAGGTGTTCAGTGAGGGCTGGCACTTGAATGGAGGGCAGCCAGGGAAGAACTGTGATGAAGAGAACCTCTGGAGGGCCTGAGTAAATCATGTAGACTAGTAATTTGTCCAACAGAAATATACTGTGAACTACATGAGAACTTGTCGATTATTTAGTAGCCACACCAAAAAAACTAAAAGACAAAATTAATGATGTTTTATTAACCCCAAAATATTATTTCAACATGTACACAGTTATCAAAAATTACCAATAAGTTATTTTATATTCTTTTTCCATACCACATATTAGAAATATATAGATATATACTGTATACTCAAAGTAACTCTCAACTCACACATGTGGAGCAGCAAGATGGGTGGAAAGGTTTAAGAGGAGACTGGCCCTCTGCTCCTAATCACCAGAGACTCTACTATTAGAATATACTACTTCTGGAGGAAGTGAGTTTCTCACAACTGAAGGAGTCAAAGAAAGATTACATGATGATAAAAAATGCTGCAGAAAGGGATCCACACAGTGAGAATCTTTAATTTCAGGAGGAAGAACCACTCACCCTGGTATGAAGAGATGAATTTGATTTCCTGGAGAAAAGAGAAAGCCTGACTGCTACAGGGCAGAAACTAAAGGGAAAAACAAAACTCAAATAAAGCAAATAGTTACAAGGTAAGAGAAGTAGTACATGACTGGGTAAAAGCCATAAAAAGGGTCTACATAAGCTACAGGAAACAAACCTGTCCTCTCTTACTGCTTCCATGTTGTGCTTATGGTTTGGTAGCAAGGTAGGCTGGCTGTGAAGTCAAGCTACCTGAAAACTATGCATTCCACATACCTTCAAAGGAGGTGTTGAATATTATCTAATTTGTTTCGTGTGCTAGATTTCTGGGAAGGAATGTACAAATTATTGAAATTTCAGTAGTGATAAGATTCTCTTGATTTTTCACAGCTGGCCCTAGTAATTTATGTTAATAAGGTGATTTAGGTGAGGGGGACAACCATCTGATTAGACAATTGGGGCTCTAAGGTCAGTTCCTTATTGGAGGAGAGGGGAACTGGAAATAAGCTCCATTAAATCATATATTCAATTAATTATAACTACGATGAAACCTCACTAAAACTCTGGACACAAACAGAGAAGTTACTTGGTTGGTGTATACATGGATGTGACAGGAGGGTGGATGTGCCTCGATTCCACTGCGAAGGGGTACATCTTTGCATCTATGCCCTGCCCAGTTGCCCACTGTGCCTCTCTTCATTTGGTCAGTTCTGATATACGTCCTTTTAAACAAAATGTTACATGAAATGTTCGAATGAATTATTAAACCTGCGATGGATCACGGGAAACCCCTAGATTTGTAGCCAGTTGATCAGAGTAGAAGTGGCCTGGGTACCCCAAACTGGCAGCTAGCATTTGAGATATGGGCAATCTTGCTGGGGACCATGGCATTCATCTGTGGGACTTTACTAATTCCTGATGGTTAGTATCAGAACTGTACTGTAGTATTTTAGGAGATCCACTTCTCCCAAATGTATCTGGTAGTATTCTGCAGAGAGGCTGCAAAATCTGAGCTTCTCCTTTCCTGCCAGGGCCTTATCCCCATAGTTGAGCTCAGCTCAGCTCAGCTTTTCATTTCCCTCAGCCCCAAAGAAAATGGCTCTCAAACCAAAATTGGCCTGTAGACATCTACTCCAATTAGGAGGGAATGACTAAAAAGAAGTAAAAAAAAAAAAAAAAATTAACAAACCGCTCACAAGGAGGTATTTTAACTTTGCCAAAACAAATCTTTGACTAGTTCAATATATTTCATTATAACGCAAAAGTAGTAAAGGGTAAAGAAGCCTTGTCATTGAAGAATAAAGCTTTGCCTTGAGTCAGGAATTTAAAGCTTCTAAAACACTTTGAAAATTCATTTCCTTTTCATAGACATATGCAATTATATATCTTACTATCTCTATTATTATAAATGTAACTTAACTGTTTATAGAATGGTATTACAAAGCCTATGGTTATGCCTCAGGCATTGAAAGGCCACATGTCATTTAATACATAGATAAGAAGGGGGCGGGTGTGGGGATTGAGGACACAGAGAAGGGAAAGAGGTTAGAAAAGGGTTAGAACTGAGCTGTGGTGGGAATACATTCTAATCTCTAAAGGAGCACTTAGTGATGTTCAGAATGAAATAAAAATCACAAGCTTGGGAAAACTTCTGAAGCAAGGTCTCCAATGTTACCAATTCCACCCCACCCCTGTGCTTCTCAGTGAGTATTAGGCTATCACTAAGATAATGAGCTGGGGCACACAATTCTCATTGTTGCAGGGATACAATTTGACTAAACTTAGGCAAGCACTTAAAAGTCTTTAAGCCTCAATTCACTTTCCTGAAAAATGCTGTTGTGGAAAGTACAGAGTATTGGTATATAGTCCATCTTCAGAAAGTGTTAGTTCTGTTAACGCTGGATAGAGGCTGAAGATAATGCAGTTGGCAACAATAAAGGGCCCTCCAACTCAAGCAAAAACAAGGGCTGCCCTCTCTTTAGCTGCCACACTGAGCTTGTTAAGGCTGGCAGTGTCCTTGATTGCTATCACTCAGACAAACCCTAATACAAGCTACTTATAAGAGATTGCCTTCCTGACACAATCTTTGTACATTTGGAAATTACATCCGTGTTGTCATGTGACCATTACGAACAAGATTATGCTTAATGGAGACACAAATGAAAGTCTCCAATTTTAGTTGCAGATGCCAAAATTATTAACTTAAATAGCAGTAGACTTACCTATGTATTCTGTACATAATCAATTCAGGTCAGAATAACAATTAATGTTCAAAAAAACTAGATTTAAAATTAGTAATGCATTTAATGTGATTACTGATGTTTTCCTTGGAATATTTTTATGGTATTAACCTGGGCTAATGTTACCATAAATTCAAATGCACAAGACACACATTTCACATGAAGGCCATTTTCTGTTCTTAGGTAATAACCAACTTACCAAATGGTTTACATAATATCTTCATCAAATTTTAAGTGTTTTGCATTAATTTATAAAATTAAACAACTTGAGTATATGTTTACTGTGTGTCACATTTCACAAATATAGTAATGAATAAATTAAATAATAACAAATTCAGTTAGCTTAACTTACCTGGAAATTTAATGACAATTCACTTTTTATTCTTATGACCCTACAAACAAACCAACCACTGCTATACAGATTTCTACTCTATAAATATATCTAATTAGCATCATGTCAGGGCTCATTTTCTTCACTTTTAATTTAAAAATTTTTAAATATGCTTCATTTTTAAAATTTTTAATAAAATAGATAATTCCATATTACATAGAGAGCAAGTCCACCTACTCTTGTTGATAGAAATATTTTCTATAAAAAGCTTAGTATTTGATTGGGAATTAATCCATCATATCATGATTTATATAGGTTCAGAGTATTCATCCTCACCCCATTCTTACTGATTGAGAAATTTTAAAATTCAGAATAATTTTCTTCATTTTTAAAGTAATAAGATGGGTCTGAGTCTATGACTCTGACATAAAACTAGTAAGCACCTGACATACATCATCTTTTGTTCCTTAAAATAACCCCAAGGTAGGTATCATTAGTATCCTCATCTAACAGACAAGAAATAGAAATTGAGAGGGCTTAGGTAACCTGCCAGGAGACAAGGCCAGACAATGTGACTCCCTGAGAGCTCCAGCTCTTAGCTACAACCATTTTCTACACTGCTTTTAAAACAGTGCCATGATATATCTTTACTCATATTAACATTGTTATGATGTGAAGTTTCTAAGATGGAGTCTGTCTATATAATTAGTGTAAAACTGACAAAAATGGTGGCTTGGGATATTCAGTGACAATAAAATTCTCATTTTATACATGTTGCATATTAGGTGAACCCTTAACATTTTTTAGCTGATTAAAGCATGTAAATTAGACTTGCCACACTTCACCAAGTTACTTAACAGTTAATGAAACTGCTAATGTACTTACCTCAATCAATTTGTTGGCATGTTCACGAAAAACTTGGGCATACTCCTTAACTTCTTTCTCATTTCCATTCTTTGCAGCTTCAATCAATACTAAAAGTGGAACGTTGGTTTCCAGGAAAGAATCTGAAACGTGGTCCATGACAGCTTTGCGGAGCTAATAATTAAATTGTATAAATTTGATTTTATTTCCACCAAGTAGCTAGATCATTTTTTCTCTTTTGTACATTTAAATCTAATAGAAGCATATGATAGATTGGTTGCACTCATATGAGTGCAATATATGAGTGCAACCAGTAATGCAATTGCCATAACCTGCAACACAGGAAACATATAATCATGGAGACAGTGGTTTCCACTATACTCACAACACTTCAGATAGAATCTCAGTTTTCAAGACAACATTCTTTTTTCTTAGGAACTACAAAACTAAGGCTTACATCTTACAGGAATAATACAAAGCTGAACAGAAAGCAGCTCTGGGTGAAGTGGCACGCAGCCTTGAATATATATAATTAGCTTAATTAACTAAATGAAATGAAAAGAGAAAAAAAGAACTTTCTGGCTTATCTAAAAGTGCTAACACACTAGGCACTTTAAAACTTAAAGGATATCTTTATAAAATTTGGGGGGTGGCGGTGGAGTTGGGAGATCAAAATTGAGTATAATGTATGCTAAACACGTACTCCACCATTGAGCTACAAACCAGACGCCATCTTTACAAACATTCCTGATACTGTTCACCAAAAGGAAATTGAATCAGGGATAGTTCTGTCTTTAATTTTGCTTTAAATCAGACATGAGCAATAAAATGTCTCTCTACTAGTTTTTTAGAAATTGTCTGAATTAATTATAATGTCTTATGTCTTAATACTTTCTCGTATAAATTCAATCCTAACTTCTTTAAAAATTAAAACTCAATCTGATTTTCAGATGGAAATCTCAGCACGCCAAATACCTCTATACCTATCATACTTGAACTAGAAACATATCTCCACCAAAGATCTAAGGGAAAAAAAAAAAAAAGATCTAAGGGAACTGCAAGTATGTGATCAGAATGGGGCAAGTCAAATGAGTAATTGGAATATTTGTCTCTACTGTACATAATATAACGAGATCCTTCGAGGGTATTTTCATATGTCCCCAAATCATCCTTTTCATGCTAGACTTAACTTATTCAGTCCACCCCAATGGGACCACATTATTCCATATCCCTATGAGATTTTATTAGCCATTATGGACTTTATCAGCAAAAATACAGAGACAGTCACTTTTCTGTGAAAATCCATCCTTTTCCCCCCAATAAAAACATAAACCCAAGCCTGAAACCGTGGCACACATGTAATCCCAGCTACTGAGGAGGCTGAGGCAGGAGGATCCTAAATTCGAGGCCAGCATCAGCAACTTAGCAAGATACTGTCTCAAAATAAAAAAATAAAAGGAGCTGGGAATATAACTTAGTGGTAAAGCGCTTGCCTGGCATGTGTAAGGCCCTGGGTTTAATCTGCTGCACATAAAGTTTTTTATTCATTATTTAATCCAGTATTTATTAGAATTTTAATTAAAGCTACAAAATCAAGAACTTAGAAAAGCAATCAGTACTTTCTTCCAGCTTACCTGTCTACGCAAGTCCCTGGTCTTCTTGGTCATTTTATCGATTGCAGAATTGAGTGCATCACTTCTTTCTTTACGTCCAGCCTACACAAAAACGTAAGAGATAAACATTTCAGATTCACAGGGAACCTTAGTAAGAGTCTATAGCTATTTAGTGCTCTATAAACATTGAAAAAAGTACAACTTTTTAATTTTTAAAATTTATTTATATATTTAGGCATACATGCAATACAAGGGATTTAACCCAGGGGTGTTCTACCACTGAGCTATATCCCCATCACTTTTTTTTAAAAGTGTTTTTAGTTGTAGACTGACACAATACCTTTATTTATTTATTTATTTATTTATTTTATGTGGTGTTGAGGATCAAACCCAGTGCCTCACACGTGCTAGGCAAGCAGTCGACCACTAAGCTACAACCCAGCCCTATCCCTATCCCCTTTATTTTGATTTTGAGACAGGCTCTTGTTAAATTGCCTAGGCTGGCAACAAACTTGTGATCCTCCTGCCTCAACCTCCCCTGTCGCTGGGAATATAGGCATGCCCCACCCAGCCTGGTTTAGTATACCTTTTTTAGACCAAAGTTATAAAATATGGAAAGTATCCTATATGGTTTTCTTCATAAAAACTTAACAACTCTTGGTTTCCATATTATCTGAGATTGGAATTGAAAGGATTTTACCAAAATAAGAGGAGCCAAGAGACAAAGCCATTTGTTTAAAAATACATTTTTGTGTTAACTCAAGATTCAGCATACACCAAGTTCATTAATAAACAAGCTGCCCTTGAACTATAAGTAGAATAAGTTATATGTTGATGAACTATGAGATTTTTAAAGAAAGTCAGAGATCAAAGATGGTCCCTGACACTAACACCAATACAAAACAATGTTTTAAAACTAAGATGTACCATAATCAGAGTTAACAATGTATATTATACAGTTCAAATCAGAATGCTTTGTGAAATTGTCTTTTTTTTTTTTTTTAAGAACTTCTAGGCTAAGCTTAATGCAATTGTAGTGTACAGAAAAGAAGATATTAGCCACTCTTGGAAAGGTATATAAATCAATACTTCTATAGAGGTGGGAAAGGGTGGTGATGAGTTGAGATTTGCCTGGGTAATATTCTGAATAGAAACAAAATAGCTGCTAGATGAAAGAAAGGGGACAAAGTTTTTATCCCAGGTGGTGCTAATTGTGTCCTTAGAAATACCTAGTAAGACAAAAGCTACATTAAACTAGGAAGTCCATTAGAAGTCCCCTCCCCTATCCCAAAACATATGTAGTTGTTTCTGAAAAACATGTTAGTAAACACAGGGGAAGCAGGACACAGTGGTGCACACCTGCAATTCTAGCAACCTGGGGGGCTGAGGCAGGAGGATTACAAGTTCAAGGGTAGCCTCAGCAAGTTTGAGACCCTGTCCCAAAAATAAAATAAAAAGGGCTGGGGATACAGCTCAGTGGTAGGGTACCCAGTATGGCCAAAAATAAAATCATCATCATCTTCTTCTTCTTCTTCTTCTTCATCATCATCATCGGAGAGATATAAATGGACTAAGGAATTTAACCCAGTGTTCTCCCTTTGGGTGCCCTTGAAACATTCTGGTATGAGTATACTATCAGTATATAAGCCAGCACACCAGATAAATGGGTAAGGATGAGATCTGGTTGTATGTTTTACATGATTTGTTATTTACATCTTCTGTTAAGTGAGGGACAATGCCACTTATCTCTCTGACTTCATTTCTACACACTACTAAAGAAAAGACAGAAAGAACATTGAGGACTACAGGTTATTTAGCAAAGAAGAGAAAGGACATAAGAAGGAACTTACAAATATTAAGAGTTGAAATTTAAGTGAAAAATTGAGATGGTCACTATGAAGACCCTGGCCAGGGTCTCATTCCTTACCCTTTCCACCAACATTCCTGAACTGCCAATAAAATTAAGTAGTCTGCTAATATTACTTTAGTTGGTAATCTACTAATATCAACAAAAACTGATTCAGGTTGGAGGATTGCTACCTGCAGAAAACTTTTAATTTATTCAAGGCCATCAGTCAAAAGAGAACTCAAAACTAAAAAGTCACTGACAATCTCAAAGTCGAAATGCCAGGATCTAAGACAAAAGATGTCTAAAATTGAATCAAAATCAAACTCATCTTATCATCAATGCTTCAATCTGGAAAGTCTCAGCACATTCCTTAGACACCCAAACATTTACTTCAAGAAAATTTCTCTAAATAAACTCAGTAATGTCTATCATTGTTCCTTGTCAATTTTGGAGGGTATCTCTAATCATCTATTCTGAAACTATTTGGAATTTGAAACCCAAAAGTTGGGTTCACTGACGATATAAGAGCCCAATCTCCTGCCACCAAGAATGCCCAGATTTTCCCTCAATTTGGGTAAAAGGATTTACTGTGAAAATTATATAAAACCAAATCCATGAAATGATTTTTTTTTAATATTTATTTTTTAGTTGTACTTGGACAAAATTTTTAGTTGTACTTGGACAAAGTACCTTTATTTTATTTATTTATTTTTATGTGGTGCTAAGGATAGAACCCAGGATCTTGTGTGTGCTAAGCGAGTGCTCCACCACTGGGCCACAGCCCCAGCCCCCCATGAGTTGACTTTTGAAGGAATTCTAGTCACATAGGAAAATTCATTTAGATACAGTGCAATTCATTCCATGAATCTGTTAATTCTGATATTTGCCAAACTGCTCCCAAAATCAATTTGTCTTTCTTATTACTGTGAGAAATAGAAGTTTATGCCTTATTAATCAAGACACGGCAGATCAGAAGCAGTTATTTACTAAACTTTTGAGGTTACATTAGATAGACCACTTTTAATTACTTTTTTAAAAAAAGTACAGTTCAAATAGCAGGTTTAGGATTCCAATGGTACAGTGCTTGCCTAACATGTAAGGGCCCCCCCAAGTTCAACCTCCTGTACTGAAAAAGGCAGGGGGAATGATTATATGTATATACATACACACACAGACACACACGCTCACAGCCTTAACACAAAGCTTGATCAAAGTGGAAAGCTTAGTGATCTGTAAAACATGATTTTACTTCTGAAATTAAACTCATTATGAATTTTTAGCAATAGTTTAATTGGGGCAAAAATAAAGTCACTCAAACATAATGTTAAGAAAAGCAAACTTAGAATATAACGGTTAAACATCCCTTATCTGAAATGCTTTGAACCAGAAATATTTCAGATTTCAGAGTCTTCCAGATTGGGGATGCTCAACTTGTATAAACATTATTGGAAGTAGTGAGGAATCTTTAAAATAACTGATCCTCAGTCAATTACCTGTTGACTTTATCTGTCATTGGCTGTGGAGGAAAAGAAAAACAAGTAGCCAATTACAGACATGTTTAAAAGTCATATGACTTAATGTGGCAAATCACCAGTCTCCTGTTTCTTTGTCATTAGGAAAAACATTAAGACTTTTCAAACTCCAAATACTGCTTTCTGTTCTCCTTTTAATCTAGAGTAAGGTTGGAAAGGGTGGGACAAGAGGGTCAAACTCAAGGTTTTATTAACCTTAATATTGTTGAGAGCCACAGTTTAGTCAGAATGACGCCTGGCATTTTTGCCAGAGGGAATGGCTGAAAGGTGACCCTGCTCCAGGATTAGAACGGATCCTGCTGCCTCGGGGTGCCCGCTGCTACTTTGGAGTTCCCATTGAGTTCCCGAGGGGTTCTGGGAGAATTGGCACGTGGAGCCTGGTGGAGGGAGTGTGTTCCCGGGAAGTGTGTGTAGAGTGCCGGTGAGAGTTGGGGAATAAAGAGTTGCTGTTTGAACCTACAAGGCTTTGTGGCTGCTCGGTTATTTTGTGCCCAGCTAGACTGCGGCATAATATGATTTAAAAGGAGGCAGGAAAGTCTAAATTAATATAACAGGAAGGTCTAATTAATTATATACAATGCCTTCATCAGTCTTCAGAAAATTAAAATTAAATTAAATTAGCCTTTTATAAGGCCCAAGTCAAAATGGACACCTAAAGCCTTTTCCTCTCAAAATAATGAGAAAAAAGGGAAACACTGAAGCTGTCATCCATACAGAAGAAGGTTTCAAATAAAGAAAGGGGTATAAAACTTCAGAAAGGAAATGATGCATCAAGCTAATAATTGCCTCAAGAAGCCTTCAGAGAAGACTGAGGACTAAAGAGAATCTTGAGGAAAAACATTTTTAAACCAAAGGAGACTAACACCTATTTACAGAGTCCATCCAGCTCCAGGAGCAATGGCACACCCATGTAATCCCATCAACTAAGGAGGCTGAAGCAGGAGGATCATGAGTTTGAGGTGAGCCTCAGCTGCCAGGGAGACCCTGTCTCAAAAATAAAATAAAAAGGATTGAGGATATAAGCAGAGATTGATCATCCCTGAGTTCAATTCCCAATACCCACACTCCCTGCTTTTTTGGATGTGTACCTAAATGGTTTGATGTGAATAACATGAGAAGCAATTGACCATTATTTCCACCTGGCCCACAGATGGCTGCTGGGCTCTGTGTAAGCTGAATATGCGACAAGAAGTTATTGAAAATCTATGCAAAGCTCAACAGTACCTTAATCTTACAATATAATGGTTTTGTAGACATATGTTCTTAAATCCCCCTTCCCTTTGTTTTCAATATTCATCCTTTAGTTTTAGGTGGACAAAATATCTTTATTTTATATTTATGTGAAGCTGAGGACCCAACCCAGTGCCCGACCCGTGCCAGGCAAGGACTCTACCACTGAGCCAACCCCCAGTCCCTTAAACCCCTTTTAAAGAGAACCCTATCCCTCAATTACAAAGAATAGAATAGTTTCTAGTATGCCTAATACTATTTATTTCATCCAAAAGTTTTAAACAATAGGTGAGGAATTCTAACATTACATATCACTCTATTTCCCTTCTCTTTCTTACCTCAATAAGAGCTAAGAAATGAGCATTACAATTTGGATATTTTCTCAGATGACAGAGCTACATTTAGCAAAAACCATAAAACCCTTCAAAAGACAAGTGACTAGAAGAAATATTTGTAAAACATGATAAAGTTAATCTCCTTCATTAAAAAAA